CTTCGACTCTGAGTGGCCAGGTTTCGCAGCCGTAAAGCAAGACAGGACGGAATGCTGCGGAGAAAATTCGGATTTTTGTTTTAAGCTGATTTCATTTCTGCACCAAAGGGGATTCTTTAACTGTAAAAACGCCCTTCTTGCAGCGTCGACGCGCATTTGCACCTCGCATTTCGCTTGCCCGTTGGNGTTGAGCTCAAGTATTTGAAGGTTTCGACGGATCCGATCCGCTTGCCATTTAGTAGTAAAGCATTCTCGGGATGAATCGGGACTGTCGCAAAGGTTTTGGTTTTTGATGTGTTCACCTCCAGGCCGATCTCGGAGGCCTGTCGATTGATGCGGTTAACGATTACTTGGAGGTTAGACATGTCCTCGCCAAAGACGACAATATCATCCGCGAATTCTAAGTCGGTGAGCCATAAGTTCGGAGAGATCTGGACTCCCTGGTATCCTTCCATCGAGCAACACATAATCCAGTCCACGGCATTGGGGACAATGGGCACCCCTGTCGCACTCCAGATCCTAACCCGAACGGACAAGATTCCTCGCCGTAGATACGAATTCGGATGCTAGTGTTAGAATAGTAGGATCTCATTAAGTTGATAAGTTTGACTGGGACACCACCGGCCAGAACTATGTTCCAGAGGGACTCGTGATCTACGGAGTCGAATGCCGCAAGAAAATCAATGAAGCAGACTGTTGTAGGTTGTTGAAACTTGTGGCGATGTTCCAAGAGTCGACGTAGAGTGAATATTTGATCGACGTAACCCACACCGGGGTGGAATCCCTTCTGGTTAGGACGAGTGCGTGCGTGCCTTGCTACAGCAAAGCGGTTCAGCAAAAGTTGTGCAAAAACCTTGGCCGCCACGTCAAGTAAGCTAATGCCCCTGTAGTTTTTGCACACTGATTTGTTACTCTCTTTAGGGGAAAGGCAGTAAAATCGATGTGATCCAGTCAGTTAGACAAATTTCGGTTTTCTAGATAGTACACACTAAACTATGAAGAGGGTTTTAAATGGCTGAAGNCCGTGGCTTGAGATGGTTGATGATATCTGAGACTTCTTCTACTGATGGTGGAGCGCAGTTAGCTTCGTATAGAGAAGATGGCGAGGGCGCATACGGAAGTTGGATTTGGGGGCGATTGAGAAGACTAGTGTTCCACCCATCGAGACATTTTTCCCTAAGCATCAGAAATGAGCTCACCGGAGGCGCTGCGCAGCACAGAGTGGGTGACCTGTTTCTTGCCCGATGCTGATCGAGTAAGTCGGAAGAGGGTCGCCGTGTTGCCCAGGTTGGCTGCTGTCTCCACTTTTGTAGCCATTTCATTCTAGTAGTTGCATCTATCGTTTCTGGCTGATCGTGTTGCTTGTCGTCTGAGATCGCGATAAGCAGAGGATTGAGCTAGACGGGCCTCTCTGGCCGCGTTAGCCGCATTAGATGGCGGCTCGATATCCAGTCCTTCAGACGACATGATCTAGTCCCTAGTGCATGTAGAGCAGCTTGTTGTACCGATGACTTCATCCTGGTCCACTGAGTT